ACATCTTTGAAAAGTTTTATAATCATATAACGTGTACATATTATATGGAGCACTGCGAAGCTACTTTTACCTCTATTTTAATTTAAATTATGGCCTATTATTGTTTTTCCTTTGAAACTCATATGATTTTCATCAAAAAGTGTGGATCCTGCATACACTGTGTGCTCAATTATAAGGGAAGTGATTTTTTTTTTTTTTAAGCATCTAAGCTGGATAAACTTGAATGCTGAATGGATGTCACCATTCCAGGAGATGTGTATCTGTGTAAAGAGGCAGGGTGTGGCCCAAAAGATCTACAACCTATATCGAGGTTGTAGATTTATTGACTCTCAAAAGTCAAAAATTACCAAAAAAAAATCTCTTAAGTGGTGCCGTAATCTTGAAATTACTAAGACTTGGGGCGTGATCCCAGAAAAATCAAAAGCTTTGTTACAAATGGCCGACAGGGTGAGAAGAAATGACAAATTAAGCACCAAGGATTTGAGAAGAACCAGGTGTGAAGCTACCAAGAATCCATCATCTTCCAGCTCCATTATATTTCATAACTGCCAGAAGATGTTCGGAGACACGGCCCAGGTAGTAAAGGCTGAAACCCGACCACCACTGAACAAGATTCGTAAGCTAAAGCATGTAGACTGGGCCAAGAAGTATCCGAAGACAGATTTTTCAAAGATAAATCCATCTTTGCAGTTCAGATGGATGAACCAGTGGGTGGAACATCTACCAGTCCATACCAGGTAAGGGACTGGTATGGACTGGTATTATTAAATGACAAAAAGTTGATAGTCTAATAAGTCAGTAAACTGACGGACTTCTCCGAATGGAAGCTTATCGCTTTTGCTGAAAAGAAAGGTCAAAACTCTGGTTACAGATTTTTTTATTTCTCAATTTCAGAAATGATTACTGGAATGTTTTGACTTGGGGATTATAATTCTCACTCGGAGAAAAAAAATGAGATGGGAAAATGTGCATTTTAATTTTGTTTAGATAATTCTGCACAATAATTGTGCACTTAAGAATATTCTCAAAAGAAAATCAAAATCTCACTTTTACTTTCTTAAACATTCATGCTTGATGTTTACCAGCAGCTTGGATTAACGCTCCAGTTGGTGATCAATAAAAATAATCCTCAAAAATAAGACTTGCCTTGTAATTGTGCACACACAGTTTATGTCAAATCTGCTTTCGACCAGTTAAAATGCAGGTAAAAAAATCTCAATCCAAATCCCAGCTCCTTTCCTCCAGCCATGTTTATTTATTTATCTATCTTGTCTGGTAATTAGCGAGTATAGAATTACATTTCTTTCACTGGAGCAACAACTTGGTAATGGCTGCCGCTTAAGAAACTATGTATGACAAGTGATCAAATTACACAGCTCCTCTCAAGTAACCAGAGGCTGAAAAATGTTGAAAGCGCTGCGTCGCGAGCGTGGCTGCTCAGCGGTGAGCGGCCTCCCTCGCAACTGCGCCTGCTTTCGTTTGGACACCTGCTTTGAAATGATCTCATCATAACGGCTAATAGCTAAAATCGCGTCAACGACAATCCGAGAAGCAGCAACGTGAACAGCCAAGGAATGGGCATTTAGACTGAATTAAGAAACATTTGATCACGATAAGAATTTTGACTCGTCCCCGTCTCGAATGTCAATAAATGACGCTAAATAAACCAAAGCAAACTGACGGCTTTTAGTGGAAGTTTTATTTTGGCTATTTTCCTCCAACATTTCTTCTACAATATCAACCAATAAATATCAAATAATAAAAAAAAAAGATTAAATGTGGTACCTGTGTGCACCTCAGTGATGTGTATATATATATATATATATATATATATACATACACACACATCACTGAGGTGCACACAGGTACCACATTTAATCTTTTTTTAAGCGCCATAAGCACACTTATGGCGTCTTGAAAAAAATGGCTTATTTTAAAAGGAAATATTTTCGAAGAGCAATATTTGAAGTTCACACCGTCCGCCCCTAAAACAGCCCTCTGTTTAAAGCGGCAGAGGAAAGTGGCAGCAGGGTGTCGGTGGCAGGTGCTCTTCTGCCACGCAGCTGGAATGTGAAGCAGCCGGATGCCATCGCCACTGTGGCTTTGGAGCGGCAGCGCGCGGAGATTTAGGATAAAGCCATGTGGATGGATTTTACGCTTCCTGGCAGGTAAGTCGAAAGTTCTCAACTAAACAGAGGACCGCCATTAATCCAAGTGGATGATTCAAGAGTGTCGTAGGGTTCACGAACATCACCGGCATGAGGCAGGAAATGGACAGATGGACAGAGACATTCTTTGCTGAAGAACGGACTCTTCAGAGTTGTGGGAAAACAAAAAGGTAAAAACAAAAAACAAAGCTTCAAAATTTACAGAGTGGATCAGGTTTTATGAGACATATTTCTATAATGATTTGATATAATTTAAATATGGAGTCTGAAAAATACCGATAAACGGACAAACAGAAAAGCATGAGACAGAGGGATAAATGAATAGTAGGTTGGATGAACAGGTGGGAAGAAAGACAAGTGGGTGGGGTGGATGAAAGATCTCAACATACTGATGGATAAAAGACTTGATTGATGGTGGTGGGATGGGTGGAGGAATAAGCAAACAGATACATAAATGTGTGAATAGATGGATGGATGAATTGATATAAAACTTCTAATGTTTTATTTCCATTTCTAAACTGGCTTGGAAATAATCCCAACATCCTCGGCGTTCTCTTTACGACTTCACTTTTGAAAATACTTTGTGTGAAAAATGCTTAGGAAATCAAATTCTAAACCTTTCCAGACTGTTGGACCATAACCCTGTGTGTGTGTGTGTGTGTGTGTGTGTGTGTGTGTGTGTGTGTGTGTCACGTTTTCTCGTCTCACTTTGTAGTGAAAGAACAAAAAAAGGTGCGGCGACACTCTCAACACAGTCACCTAATGCGTCCACCTCCTGCTCTGTTGATAACCGATAGCTGATCAAATCACAAGCTTCAAGCTGCCATACAGTGAACCGCAGCCATAACTGGGATTTGATTTCTCATTTAACGCTGCCCCGGCCATCAATAATTCAGCCCTGAAACGATGATGGTGAGGAGGAGGAGCAAGGCAGAGGTAGGTTGAGAGTCAGTGAGGAAGCAGTGGGTGAGGTTAGTGGAGAGGATGACTCTCGGTAGCTAGTTCAGTCAGCTTTCACACACGGCCAAACAGCGAGTCACCATAAGAGCGCAGAAAACCACACACACACACACACACACTCACACACACACACACACACACACACACACACAGTGACTAATGAAGTCACAGATTAGTGCGTGTCTAACAAATGTCCTTTTTCTCATTAGAGAAATCTGTTAGCCTGGAATGAGCCGTCGCCGACTGAAGGAATGACTGCTTTTAATAACGATCCCATTTCACGGCTGCCGTTAAAAACCACCGAATCCGTTCCATTGTTCGGGTTTACTTTATTGCCTTGCACCTCCGCAAAAATCAAACCTTCATTATTAAGCCCCGCATTCTCTTCGTGTACGTCCTACAAGCCCAGCGATCGCTCTGCCCGCCATCTCCATGGCAGCAGCGAGAACACGCAGGAGCATATGGCTCATCATTTTCACTCTGCATGCCGACGCTGGGCTCTCCTGGGGGCATCTACACCTTCCTCATCTCCCTCTTCTTTGTTCAGTCTTTCATTATCCAGCAAATCGCGTCCGCCCCTGTTGGATATGTGTACCTAAACAGCCTCCACACGAAAACGCGGCCGCCGTGTAAAGATGCCGATTCGGAATAGAAAATAAGAGAAGGAGATCAATAAGAGGAAGGATATTGGTGTTATGCTCTGTAATGTGGCTTAGCAGTGCAGCTTCCTGTACGAATAGGAGTCTTATTGAACGTGTGAGGCCATCAAACCTCTGCCCTGTCGAATCGACTTGAGTTTCACTCTCACTGTTCGCTCCTTTTTTTTCTCTCTCTCTCTCTCCCTCTCCCTTCCCTCCTTCAGCGCCGAGCCCGCCTCCGGCTCTGCCAAACCTGAGGACTCCGGCCAAATGCAACTAGGATCAAATGGCTGAAGAGAACCACAGGGAGCTCCCTCCAAATGTCACAGTTGTTTGAAGCTGGGAGATAGATTCCCTTAGCGGGCCGCTGCCAACACAAAGGCGGTGAGGGAACCAGATGTGTTTATAAGCCTTAATAAAGCCCAGGCGCGGCAGATTCACTGGAGAAGACGAAACTCTAAAATGCGAGGAGAAGGAGGAAGTTTTCACACCCCGTGCGAACCACACATTGCGTGAGGGTCGCGCATTTTATTGGCCTTCTACGTAATGAATCGACACAGACTGAAGAATTGAGAAGTTGACATGGCGGATAAAACCTGAAAAGTTTGACGTGCATTTGTATTATTTTAGAATATATGGTAGGGCTGCAACCAACTATCTTATTTATCAATTATTCTATCAACTATTCAGACGATTAATCGATTAATCTGCTAAAAAAAAGCATTCTTTCGATTATTTAAAAAAATACTAACATGCAAAGAGCTCAGCACATTCTGCTCAACTTCACACAAAAATAGTTTTATTGATGTTATATGGTATGTTGATTTTTTTAAATTAACGAATTAATAAATGCATACTTTTCCTTTTGTTCTAGGTAGAACATAATTTCAGACAGGGTTTTTTTTTTATATTTTAAATGAAAACCTTATATATTTTTTGTACAATTTTAGATTAATTACTGCTCCAAGTATTTATTCTTTCAGCAAATTGCCTTTTTCCGAGTCTATATATTCCAGCTAACGATTAATCACTTACCAAATTGAATGCCGGTTATATCTCTAATCGATTATCACCATTAATCGTTTCAGCCATAACATACATCACCCACTTCCTCTTCACAAAAACAGCTCAAGCTCAGTCTGGTTAATCAGAGAGCTGCCGACGTGTGTGTGTGTACATAAACAAGAACGCAAACAGACCCACAGCAGAGGTAATGTTTTCTTCAAACACTGACCTGCTCGGCCCGATCGTATCCGGCGTCCGGCTTCTCCACCTTGACCTGGGGGTGTTCCTTGACCTTCACCTCCCCGGGCTCCAGCTTAGAGACCTTGTCCTTCATTACAGTGTCATCCTTATCCAGTAGATAGCGCAGCAGTGCATTGTCCTTCTTCTTGGGGCTCAACGGCTCCTGCTTGGGAGTGATTTCTGCCCCCGACGACGGGTTCCCAGCACCTTGTGATTGGTCCTGGCCCAGCTCCTTGCCTGTAGCCTCAGCGGTGAGCTTGGCCAGGTCTACAGGGGATGTACTGTTCTGGAGCAATTGGTGGAGGATTTTGTGTTTTTCTTTGAGCGAGGTGGCGTGAGTGCTCCCGACCGCGTGGCCGCCTCGGGCCCCGGCTCCAGCCTGGTCCTTTCCCTCTCCTCCGCCGCCCGGCGAAAGGGGCGTCTCCAGGGGTTCCGGTTTGGTGGTGAGAAGCTGCAGTAGCTTGGTGTTTCCCTTGTTGTCGTGGAGGCGGCTGTGGGCGTCATGAGCGTCCAAGGACCCCTCCCTCTCCTCCTTGGGCTCCGTTTGGTTGCCCTCGGCCTGAGCGTGTACCTGATTCACCTCCGAGTGAGTGCCGAAGTCTCCAGCTCCGCCCGCGATGCTCGAGCTCCCTCCGAATTTTGACATCATGTGAGGGTTTACACCTGATCCCGGCGTGACCCCGGCTGGGGAGCCTATCTTCCGGTCAGGGGAGCCCAGTGTGTGTGCGTGCGAGGGCCCGTGCCCCACACCGTGGCACTCACTGAGGGCCTGCAGAGCGGACAGAGAGCTGCTAGTGTAGCTGTTAGAATGGGCGCTGCCCGCGCTTCCAGGGCCGCTGCTGCACATCCCGACAGGAGAGGGCGACTGCAGGCCCCCGGCTACACGGGGGCTCCCCGCGCCCCCTGGGCTGCCCCGGTGCCTTGGCGACAGCATAGAGTTCTGCTGAGGCGGGTGGGGCCCCCCAGCTGGACTGGGGCTGGCACGAGAAGGGCTGTTCATCCTCCAGTTGGGGCCCTGCTGCGGCGGCTGCATGCCCCCGGTGTAGTTAGGGTGTGGAGGGGGGCAGCCGAAGCGGTAGCCCTGCATGTGGCCCCCCATGGCTGCTGGCTCCCTGGGGCCGGCGGGGCCCGGGGGAGAGAAAGGCGTGCTGTTGCTGCTGATCGTAGTGTCTTGGCCCTGAAGCCCCAAACCGGGCAAACCGCACGGGGTCGGTGGAGTCATGGAGGGAGTGGAGGGGTTCATCGGTTTGGGGGTCATCCCCGTTTCCTGTCCACCCATGTCCTGACCCATTCCACACACCGGGTGCTCTCTGAATGAACAGATAGAGAAATGTCTCAATTATTAAACTTTCAGACAATAATAAACAAAACAAAAAACAACAGAGTGAGAAATGAGAAGTTACATCTCTGCAAGTATTTTTGATGCAATCTAAAAAAAGAAAAAAAAGAAATGAGATCCGAGTAGGAACACTTCACTGACTCACTGGGCAACTTCTGCACCAGCTTATCACAGGTATAAATCTTAATATCAACTAACTTCACGGAGGATAAATGTAGTCATGAAGGGATAATCAGCCGTTTCATGTCCTCCTTGCTGTCACTTTACCCCAAGTGTCTTTAATGGATTGGGACTCAAAATACAAGAAATTAAGCAAAACAAACAAACAAACAAACAAAAAAATATCTCCACTTTAATGTTTCACAAAATACCAACCCAAAACTGTAAAATGTAACTGTGAACGGAGACCGTAAAAGAAGTGAGTGTCGTATGTAAAAAAAAATAAAAATACAGATGTACGCAACAGCTGTGCTTTATTTGGAATCTCTGCCGTCATTGTGTCGCTTTCCTGGAATAAATCGCATTAAGATCTATTGCTGTAATTAACTTTTGTGCATACTCTTGTCTTTTTCCTCAATAGATGGAGATATTGCCCATTCATAAAAACGGCGATCCAAAGTGCTTTACGGGAAATCAAATGAAAGACATTAAAATTGCCAAAACCTTGAAGCTCGCTTGAAACGTCCAACACTTTAAAGAATTGCATGAAAGCATAAACACGTTAAAATGGCCGTTATTATCTCTTCATGTCACATTTCAGTCACGGATTTGGCCCTGGAGGTGGAAATTCAGTGCATAAGCAGTTGTGTGGAGCATCAACAGGCTAAAACTCTTCAGCAAATTCTAAGATTAGTTTTCTTTCTGACAGATGTGTAGATACGGAGACGTACCTCTGTAGGAGGTGCAGGGACATGTAGAGCTGGGGTTCGTTAGTGGCAGATGAGCGCACCAGTTTGCTCTTGGTGTGGGCAGAAACGATGGTTCCATCAGAGAGGGAGAACCGGTAGATTGGACTGAACGCTTGACCGTGGCGGAGAACTGTAGACACAGCAGGCTTCACGTCAGCAAGCACACAATAATTTTTTATTTTATTTTTTGGAATAAGATAAAACACATGTGTTCCTGCTGGTTCCAGTGTTAGAGTAGATTGATGGATCATCCAAGGACTGAAGTTCATGGTTGGCTGCTTTTTGTTGCAATTCATTCAAATATTTAATATTTAAAGCCTTTTGTTTCCCTCCAGAGCCTTGAACTTCTTTCCCCTCTTCGAAACATCTAAAACAAACTTCAAAGTCCTTTATTATGACCTGATATGACAAACAAACATGGAAGCAGTGTACCGTTGAAGTTACAGGTTTAACCATTTCACCGTTTGCCTTTCAGCTTTACTTGTCCAGATACATTTCTGCCCATTCACCTTTAGAATACAGTTCAAGGTCAGTTATACTGGTTGGAAAAGCCTCCATCCGACTATTTACATTGAATTTAATGACTTATTCCTGCAACCAACTGTGAAGATGTGTAAAATAATAACCTTCTTGCTGGTGTCTCTTGGCAAAGGATATCTCCCCGTCGTTCTGCAGGTGGAACCTCTGGATGCAGCGCCGTACTAGATCCTCCCAGCCTGGCTTCATGGACGCTCGCAGTAGACTCGTGTCCAGCGACGTAATCTTACCTAGTCGCAAAGGAGGACGTTACGGTAGCTGCAGGTGTACGGAATTGTAAACTTCTGCCTCGCGACCCAAACTGGCTGCTAAGTTTCAACGAGGATTTCAGGTCGAATAAAAGTCACCGTTTTGCCACCTGGTTTAACAAGTACGTCCAGGATATTTGTGTCGACACAGGCAATCGCTCGCAGCGGTGCGACACTTGTCCCTCAAGTATGTGCCATTTGAAATGGAAGCAGCAGACCGCTTAAGGGCTGACAAACTCTCTCCTGCTTGACTGACAGCTACATGGACCAGCTTGTCACAGTAGCAATAACAGGAGCCATTTACAGCAATACATCACATCTAACAATCACCAAGGCGTCAAAAAAAAAAAGGAACTACAGAGGCAGACTGGCAGCTTACGTGGTGTTTTGCTTAATTCTAAGGGGGGGGTTTCAAACTACGTGTCCTAAACGCCACAAATGAAGGTGATTGTCGCGCTCTGTGTGGCGCTAACGGACAGCTCGGTAAGTAGAGGCTGCCATTCATGCGCACCTACGGAAGCCTGGGCGGGAAACTACAGGAAATTACTATATGTCGCTGACTAACCATGAAGGTGTGTGTTGTTTTTTGTGATGTGGTTGTGGGTGTGCATACCACACAAACGGCATTAGTACATCAGAGGCCAGGAGACGCGCGCACAGCTGCGTGCGTGTATGCAACAGTTTTTCTTTTCACCTCCCACAGTGCAGACAAGAAGGGTGGCTGCAGCCAGCTAGTCCAATCCTAACGGGGGTCTTTTGTATGATGCTTAAATACTTAGCAGCGATGTCTGCCGATTTGTGGAGAGTTTGAAATTTCTTTCAACACAAAGGCAGTCTATTTTTTATTTTATTTTATTTTTCGTTTGTTTTACTCAACCTAAACAAGTATTAAATCGGATGCACATTAAGATCTCCGATCTCCATGCGTCAGTTTGTAGCTGCCGTCCGTCTGATTCCCTGTACCTTGCAGGTCCTGGCGAGTGGTGAAGCTCTCATGCGTGGGAAGCATGGGCCTTTCCTTCGTGGGCACCCTCCGAGCCACGCAGATCAGGCACGACTGGAAGTCTGAGAAAAAAAAAAAAAAAAAAAAAAAAAAAAACGAAGAAGAAGAGAGCGAATAAACGTCAGGAACAAAGGACAAGGTGGAGGATGGAACAAAGAGGACGAGGATAAAACATGAGAGACGAAGAGGGAGTGAGAGGGGAGGACAAGGGGGGCGTAAAGGATAGAGACAGAGGGAGGGAGTGATAATGAAATGCATGTTATTCCCAGGCAGCATAATTAATACAGTTATTAATGAGCGTGGGGATCAGGGCTCCGCTCCTTTAGCGAGGAGCAGCTATTGCTGGCGAGGGAAATGATGTAGTGTGACCTTTCGGAGGAGTCTGAGTGACTTGATAAGTGTTTGCGTCCGCACCTCCGTCTGGTCCCGGCTAAAGCGCCGTCACGCACTCATCGCGCCTCCTCCTGCCCCAACACGGCTCAGTAATGACAGTCTTCTTTGGCGAACGTAAAAATAAAAAATGACTTCGCCAATTCGACTGCTTGGGTGACCCCAAAAAGTCTGCGGTCCAACTTTTTTGTGAGCCAATAATATCCACAATCCCTCATGTTCCTCGCAGAGATGTGTGCCACAGGCTATCACACACACACACGTGTATAGAACCTCATGGGAGGTCTGGCCATCAAAGATCTTAATCGCTATTAATTCCCCCCCCCCCCCCCATTTCCCTTCTTTCTGTTTCCGTCTGTGGCGAATTCCTCTAACTGTAACCGCCGATCGTGCTGTGGTGCTCAAATGCCCCAAATCATTCACACACCTTCAGCCAGCGATGTTCTCATGTTAGCCGGAAAACAGCTGGCAACATTAGCCTTTTATGTCGGGTGGTTCATAGCTCTAGGCTAATGAAAGCGTTTCTGGTTGGAGGTCATGTAAAGAACGCTCGTCTAATGCAGTAGAAACAAAGGGGCCCGATCTAGTAAAGTCAACGTAGACAGAGAAGACGGGGTTTTTTTTTTCCAAAGATGTGTCCTCTGTTGCCGTACACCGATTTCTAGGTGATGGACACAAATCTGTGTCCTTTCAGTTTTCAAAGGTCGGAATTTAAGCAGTCAGAAGAAAATCGAAACTAAATTAGGCATCGAGTTTGAAACCACAATCCAATCCAACGCTGGAGTTTGAATGTGTTCACTGTTCGGTTGTGCTGCTGCATCGTTATTTGCTTTGAGCACATCTGCATCAGGCTTCATAAGTTGTTACGAATTTGCTAAGTATGCATCGTGCTCTGTTACAAATGTAGAAAAAAAAAAAAAGTAGCCATAGCTACTTTTTCTATTTATGGCAACTTCCAAACAAGTAAGAAATATGCAGATATGTCAAAAATGTTACGCTAAATTAATAAAAAAAAAAAAATAAAAAAAACATTTTGTCCAAGGTTGTTTTATAAGGTCACTACTTTAGTGTCAACTGATCCTCCTATCCATCTCTTCCCCACTTCCCTCCCCACTTCCATACCGTCTCCTTCCTCCTTGATGGACTTGGGTTCTGACACTGCAAAACACTGCATGGTCTCATATTTCTGCTGCTGGGGATCGTGCGACTCGTCCTGGTTCTCGCTGTGCGGGTTCACCAGCATTCGGCAGTTGAACGTGTGGCTGTTCCTCCTCGGACCCTCGCTGGACCACGGGACGCCATTGACTGCCGGAGAGAGAGAGAGAGAGGAAGAGAGGTGAGGCAAAGGAGACTTTTATAGTCTGTGAGAGGGTGAGGGTGGTGGTGGGGGGGGACACTTTTCCCTGCGACTGAAAGTGAACGGTGAAACACGAAGTATGCAAAGAGCGAGCCAAGAGGAGGCGAGCGCGCTGCAAGTGGAAGACATAATGAGAGCAACGCAGGGAGAATGAAGGCAGAGGAAGTGCGAAAAAAAGAGGAGAGCTGTTGCTGGGTAGAGATCAGTTTTAATGAGCAGTTGGAACCCTGAGCCATCCATCCACAGCAGTGCATCACAGCCAGGCCTCCATATGCACGTCCTCCCAAAACATCACTGCCCATCTTTCTTCTCCTGTCCAACACTTACACAGGCACGAAATAACTCACTCAGAAACACACAACGCACGCATACACACACGCACGCACGACAAGCAAGATAAAAAAAAAGACATGTATAGGCCAAACTCATTTCTTTCTAGCAAACTCCCATCACACTCCATCTGGTTTGTGATCTCATTCAGTGCATTGATAATCTCCCAGTAACTGGGCCACAGCCCAGTGATCATTTCCAGGGTACTCTGCTCTGCGCAGCTCTCCCACCCAGATGGCTGGGTAACTCAGACCTCAATCCAGAGCACCAGCAGAGGAGGACTCGGAGCTCCTGACGCGATGCGGTGGCGGCAAAGCTCACCTTATGGGAAGTGAAGCCGTACAGGTTAATTTGAGGGAACGAGATGATGGAGGGGAGGGAATTCCTGAGCTAAGCTGAGGATTGCACAAACAGTTGTAATGTTTACATTAAATAAGCACAAAGCATAACTTCAATGGGTGGGCTAGAAAGTATGGGAAATTGAGAACAAGAAAAGAGGATCTCGATAGGGGTGTGCAGCAGAGAACGAGAGAAAAACATAAAAAAAAAAGTGAAGAGAAGGGGAAGGAAGGGCACGAAATGAGAATGTAGGAAGAGCATTATGCTGCTGACAGGAGAGAGAAGCCAAAAAAGGAAGTTAATTAGCTGAAAAGCGAGGGAGGATGAGGAGAAGAGTGAGAGGAAAAAGTCTGGGCTGAGCATCAGCAAAACAGAAAAAGAAGAACCTTTAGGATCTTTGCACACTGCAATTTTTTTTTTTTTAACAAGCCAGCTTTCAGGCACTGAAAAACCACCGTAAACATTTAAATCACAACGACATGGCTAATAAAAAGCACCAGGTGACGCAAGGGAGACGGAGCGGAGGCAGAATTCGTTGGCAGGGAGAATAAGCCGAGGGCTAACCGAGGGATTTAGGCAGCAGGTTCTTGATGAACTCGGCGTGATCGCCGACGTGCAGCACGCTGTACACGCTGGTGTTCATCAGCTCCTCCTGGTTGTAGCGCAGGTACTGGGTCACGTTCTCAGACACGAACACGATGTTGCCCTCCATGTTCACCACGAAGAAGAAGCCGTCGAGGGCCTGGAGGGGCAAAGAGGCGGTTTAGAGTTTGTTTACAAAGTTCCTCCTCACAAAAAAAAAAAAAACACAATTCATGAATAATTAGGATTTTATTTGTGCAGCAATCACCCTCATTAATCAGAATATGTTAATAACCCTGCTGCAAGTGGCCTAAAGGGGGAATATCACCGATTAATATGCTCTCCCTTTTCTCAGACAAGGGAAAGCTGCAACTTTAATTTATTGATGCAAGTAATTGTGTTTTTCTTCAGATCTACCGGGTTTTAATCTCTATCATTTAGTATGGAACGCATTAAAGAACAGCAGATACTATGTAAATATTGTCTGAAGTCTGGGAAGCCGGTATAAATATGTCTCTATTTATTTTCTGCCAAGGAAACGTGTAAAGAAAAATAGTACAATGTAAAATGAAACACATTGAAAAAGTTCTAAAAGTAAAGTTGAAACATGTCAAAAATGAACAAAGTAATTTTTGACCTTTATGGAAAAGTTGCAGTAAAACCATTTTTTTTTTAAATCCAGATTTAAAGAAGCCAACAAATTCTGGGACATTTCAGGTTGGAGCAGAGGAGCAGAGAGACTAAATGATGCTTCCTCTAATTTAATTCTGGTCATAGCTCCTAAAGGGGGGGATCAAAGGGGTCTAGATAGTTAATACTGTAAAAGATAAGCCTATACCTTATAGACCAATATGAAAACAGAATCTATCATTTTACAGACATGCAGCCGTTTAAGTTTATTTTCGTGGTGTGTGCCTGATTGTTTTGTTTTTTTATCCATAAAGACACAAATACATTAAGTGACCCGAGAAAGCAGCCTTGAGACAGTCCAAATATAATATTTCTCATTCATATTTAAAAACACACAAAAGATTATAGATCAAGCTTCTATTTAAAAGCTCTCCACACCAAACTAATGCAAGAAAAGGAGCTAATAATGACACAAAGGCCGTTTAAGACCAAACCGCTTGATTAGAAATTAGCCCTGCCAAGACGTTTGCGTCTGTGGTGAAATGGCAGGAGAGTGGTGTACGGCAAAGACAAAACCTCATATAGTGAAGCAACTGTAGCGAGCATCATTCCGCCTGCCACCAAAATGTTGAAACAAGATGAGTGACTTACTATTCTAATTTAAGCTAATTTAATTTGCACTTGCAATTTTGCTTTGTTTTATCATGCCTTTTAATTTGCATGAAGGACCAATTGAAACTTTTATCCAATTTGTCCTAAATACACGGCTAGTTATTGTCTGACATTTAGCCCTTAGAGGAGCAAAATGTGGCAGAAAGCTTTTAAGCCGTTTAGCAAAATTAACTAAAGAGGCTCCTTCCTAATATGGGAGATTTCTTTATTTTTATTAAGAAAAACCAGAAAGCAACATTTGAACTATCTGCCATTTTCCGTTGTACCGTACCCGTAACGGCCCATGACCTAAAAGTGGAGTACACGCTGAACCCTCTTATGTTTAAACTCTGTTATTTGTATGTTATTACACTATGCTTACAGAAAAACCACTGGTACATACAATTAGTACCAGCTAAAAAGAAAAAAAAAAACAAGCTGAACATCAGTGAAGCTGATAAAAGTAGAATAAACCCATGTGGCTGATTAAAGTATAAGAAGGAGGAGCAGCACTTAATTGAAAGAACACAGCCCCAGGTCAGCCATTACACACAAGCTGGTGTCAATTAGGCCATCAAATCACCTACAGCCTTCAGGAACAGAACACTGGCGCTTGTAAAGCCGGTGTCACGATAGAACCGAAGACATCTGCTCTTCATCTGTGCTTAATCGATCGCTACGGTTAAACTGAACAACTGTCAAACTTTTCAGCGCGACATTTATTGTCGTTCCTGAAAACGGCTACAAAACCAACAGCCCCACGGAAAAAATGTTAAGGTTCGCCGAACCCTTTCCATCTGATCCAAGATTACAGCGTGATGGAGGTTCTCCCTCGCCTGCTCTGACACTTCCTAATCTAAAAACAAACTCAAAGCTACCTCATCCATCAGTGCATTAACTGGGCCTGCTCCAAAATGCAACGTGGTTGTGCAAGTCCATCCTGTGTGAGGAAAGAGCATGGACTGGACAGGATAAACATTGCGTCGTGCCAACTCTAATGCTCCTCCAGACACTGTTGCTCAACGCCGTTAGCCAATACTTTTAATTTACAGTGCCCTCCTTAAATATACACTGGAGAGACGGCTGAGCCAATACGAGTCGATGTGTTCCAAACGGCAACTTTGGGAATAATTGTACAATTCCTGCTCCCAGCTCTATTTACTTGTGAACAATAACTGCTGCAATAACTTGCTGCAACGTAACATTAATAGTTTTTGGTAATGACCGAAAAAAAAAAAAATGTTATAGACATCATCAAGAATAAAGAGCAAAAGCCATGTCAAAGTATTTGTAGGAAGTTGAGATTTTTGTCATGTCCGAACCAAATATTTTATGCTTCACTGGGATTTTATGTGAAAGATCAACACAAAAGGAGCAAATAATTTAGAGTTTCTGCAGTTTTCACCAACTCAAATTTAAGACTTTAAGACCTATTTAAGGTCATTATGAATAAAAAAAAGAAGGGGGAAAAACAGTATAGGATAAACAAGATTATATAGTTCAGCCACAACAAAATTTAACACCTGTGATGAAAGTATTTAAAAGTAATATGAAACAAAATAATAATTTGGTGTGCATTTGTACTCAGGACCCCTTGAGTTAATACTTTGCACAACCACCTTTCCCTACAAATACAGCAGAAAATCTTTTGGTATACATTTCATTCCACTGATTTGCAAACCCATGAAAAAAAAATAAAATAAAAATATTAGTATCTTCTAAGAAATCAAAGATTCCTGCAACAGTATGCCTCCCCCATCATGCTTCCCTGCATTGGGTTGGTTTATCCAGAAAGATGAGCATCAGGTTTGAAGAAAAGCAAAAAATGTTGCTCTCATCTGCCCAGAGTGTCTTAATCAACATACAGACCAGACTAAGGATTACAAAATCCACTTCACAACTCCATGTGTTGAATAGTCACATGCAATCCCAGCAAAATGCATTGAAGTTTGTGGTTGTGACACAAAATCGGGAAAAGAAGATACGAGTGCTTTTTAGGGCACCGTATACATAACAGTGACGTGACGTAATGAATCTGTCCACAGAAGGTTAAAAGAGCAGCACAATGTTTCCCCACACTCCTCTCCATCCCTCTGTGTTTGGAGAGCAAAGAGTCTCAGAGGGGCAGGGTGGGGGGAGGAGGAGAGGAGGTGGGGATGTGCGTTTCTGCTGCCGGCCTTTCTCTCCTCTGAACGGCCTGTAATGAGCCCAGGATCGCGGAAGGGATCGCGGCTCGGAGCGGAGCTGGTGTGAATGGCCTATCGCCGTGTTTTGGGGACTGCTGACAGATGGGAAAGCTCGCAGGCTGCGCTGGGCTATATTTAGCCGCGAGTTAGTGTGTCGATTCAGTGACGCTGGACCAGGAGAGCTATAAATATTCCATGACAGGACGGATCTAGAGGCGAAAGAAGAGGGAAGAAGTGGGAGAGCTGGGGGGGGCGGAGCGCGGGAGATCTGAGCGAGGCGGGGAGGGCGGAAATGGGTGAGAGGACGGACTCAATGGACTGATTCATTCGATGAGCTGTTGCTTTCTTTCCCATTATACGTAAGCACTTCTGAGGCTCTCCGTTGTACAACCGGGCCATTGCTCAGCTTGGTGATTTACAGCCAATCAGGGGCGGATACAAGATGCTGGCAGCTTTAGCCTCACACAGCTACACTCTGACATAATCACTACTGGCACAGCTGCGATTGTTCTCCGTGAATGGTGCTCTTCGGTAGACATCAATCATAATTTCAAGAGGTGGGTTGACCTGTGGTGGAGTATTTCACTTAGTGTGACACTATTAAGTGGAGTGTATGATGAAACCTGAGTGCAATTTGATCTCGGTGTGAATACAGATGTTCTGTGGAGACGTGATCATCAGGGTTAAAGTCCTGGAGAAGTTTTAAGGAGGGTTTAGGTCGGACGCATCATCTTTACGTTGAAAGAGTAAAACAAGGCAACGCCGTTCACAAACTGACAGGTTGGGCAAGGAGAGCTTTATGTATTTATTTATTTATTTTTTTGAAGCTGCCAAGAAGACTGTGGTAATTGTGGAGGAGTTGCAGGTGGGAGAATCTGATCACAGGACAACTATTTGTCAATCTCTCCATAAATCTGACAATAACGGAATGATGGCGAGAAGAACATCACTTTTTGTCGTTTGAGGCACAACAGACGTGTGGAAGGAGACGGTCTAGTAACAGGAAATCAAGACTGAACTTCTTAACCTACGGATGCAGCTAAACTCAGGACAACCCTGTAGGAAAAGCTTTTAGGGGCTGCAAAAGACTTAATGCTGGCTTGGAAGTATTCCTTCTTGTGGGACAGTAACTCTAAACATGCAACATGAATTACAATGGAATGACTTGGATTACTGATCCTCAGAACCCCCCATCTTGCATGTTGTAGGGGTTTTCCTGCTGTGCCTCAAGCCTGACTTAAATGTGTGATTAACAGGCTTCTGCAGCATATTATAGCTTACTGTGGAGGCTATACAGTCATTTGAGAAATACCTAAACCATAAAGAACAGTGGATTTCTGAGGAATAGGCTTGAAAAACACTGGTTTATTTTAGAGATTATTACTGTGTTTAAATAGCCTAGTTAATAATCGATTGTAAGACTAGAAAAGTACAATCTAAGTTATTGCGCAAAGAATAAAGTCCACATTTTAATCTCTTAATGTGTGAGAGACATGCACCAAAAGTTTATATGTAATGAATATTAAAAAAATAATCTCAATAAAAACACTGGGAAGTTTAAAAGGTAATGTGACAAAAATATTAAAAGGAAATGGCAAGGCATTGCAAATGACATCATGATGAATGAAAAATACAAACGCAATCCACCCACCTCCAGCATCATTGGTCCCAAGGCGTCTTTGTCAATCACACTTTGGCCTGTTGATGAGACATCAGCCTTCTGCACCTCCTCCTCGTTTGCTGCTGCAGCCTTTTCTGTGATCAGATAAATCAATAAGACAAACTTAAAAGCCACATACAGGGATCCAAAGCAACAAGTTCATAATGCAGAGGGAGGGAAAAAAAACAACAAAAAAACCCCAAAAACACAACACCACCACAAAGACAAAACTTAGAGGTCACCGAGAAGAAGCACGAGCAAACGATTCTGCATTTCCCCCTGCAGTCGACCCACATACTTTAAAGAGGTCACTGGCTGACAGGGATTTTAACAAGTATCCATCTGGTAACAAAGCAAACACATTCGGTCCCTTTGTGAAAACATGCGGCCGGCCGTGGCTCCAGCCCAAGCGCACCGTGGCAAACGGAGTGAAAGGTTGCTGCAAACGAGCGTGTCAGAGCGCACGACTGCCACACTGGTGACAGACACACCCGTCATGTGCAAAAAAAAAAGAAAAAAAAGAAAAAAAAAGGGGCTATTATGGAACAGGGAGAATGTGTAAACAAGTCATGTACAAAATAGGAGAACAAATTGTTCCCATGAAGGGCAGAACATTTTTACTTATCCAATACCACAAACAAACTTAATCATGTTATCAATAATAATAATATGAAATTAGATTAAGCTATCTAAAGCTCAAAAGTTAGTTTTTCAAAATACGTCCAACAAATTTAGGAAATTCATCAAATGAGAGAAAAAAAAATTATCTTCTTGCAACAGAACAGATTTCAAGATTATACTGTGTTTGCACAATACGTTCAGCAACATATTAATATATTAATATGTTGCTGAACCCTAACCCTAACCCTAACCCTAATTTACCAGTGACTAGGAGAAAACTAATTCAATAGAATTTAGAGATGCATAGAGAAATGGGACGGTGACCAAAACTGGTGGACTTTTAGCGTGGTCGACCGACCGACGCTTTCAACATCACTGGCGGTCTAAAATGAAGTCAGATGAAACACGGGGATGCATGAATCAATTTTAAATAAACTTCCCTATGATATCTGTAGACGTACTCTTTATGAAGGCTGTGATGGAGTGAGCGAGAGCAATACCATAAGTAAATAAATAACGGGAAGGGTGAACAGAGTTGGTTTCCAACCTCTGCCTACCAGATCTGGGAATATTAGGTGGAGCTGAGTTGAGGTAAGGAAGCATATTCTCCAATTTAACGCTTCCTCCCCAAGTTGTGTTCAGGACAAAAAGAGTAATATTGGCCAATATCGACGTTGGTGCTGATACACAGTGTATGCCTGCTAAAAACATACCTATGCTAATTAATGCAACAACAAATAAAAAACAAAACGTATATATTAAAAGAAACACAATATATTGTCGCCAATGCACCAGGTTAATTGACACACTAGTAATGCTTGTATAATTTCTTTTTTCAGTCATACCTTGCGAGTCACAAGCTGAAAATTTCAGGAAACTTTTCTCTAAGGAAACCCTGCTGTTTCAGCAATGCTAGCCAGGCTAATCACTAGTAGGAGATGTTATTATAGCTGGTTAAAAATGTGAACTAAATGGTCAAAAATCCAGGTTTAAAAAAAAAAAAAAAAAAAAAATCACACTTCTAATTGGAGGATTTGTTAACATTTTAAAATGGCACGGATATAGAAACGTATAAAAATTCCAAGACCCAAACCCTTAAAAACCACCAAACATTTCATTTAAATTTGAACAATTAAGAGATTCCTCTCAGCTTTGGTAACTAAAATAAGGAGTTATGTCTTTGCCCATGTGACTGGGTTAACAAACATGCAGAGAGGCCTTATGTTCATAGCGTAGGCTGCCCTACTTTCCAAGCAGACGATGAGAGGCGGAATATGAGTGGGCTGTTCGGGGGGGTGTTGGGGAGGGGTGGATGAGGGGGCACATTTAACGGGCGCACCATGCCAAGGAGAGAGCTGACCATATGGTGACAAAAGATTGTGGTGAGAAGCAAACAGAATCACGCTCTTCCTTTTTATGGGTATGGATGTGTGAAAGTTGACACGAATGCAGGTTTCCCTCTGCGCTGTGGGTTTGTGCAACAGCCCACAGACAAGTATTAATCTTTTCCAGCATTAATGATCCGTGCATCAGCAGGACCTCTCCAGGCCCAGTGGGGTCCTGCAGACCAACACAGCTGCCCTGAGTGCAGACCCATCACTCACTGTCATGGCCGCCTTCCCTGGCTCTCCGTCTCTCTGCAGAAGTGTGGCACTGTGCCACGGATAGCAGGAGCAATTGATCACTTAAAAGGATTGTGTAACGTATTAACAACTACATCATAAACTGGCAAGACAGGGCACCATATACGCTTTACTAGCTCATGAATTTATAGAGCAGTGGTGCTTTTTCTCTCTGCTTTTTTTTATTGTGCAAAGTTGCTCATTAGCAGATAATGCAAAGTCCCGTCATTATTATTAGTTTTATTAGTTTTTCAACTATGGATAAGTGTTGAACTTTTTTTTTCTTCTGTTAATGCCATTGTCATTTGAATTTTGTATCGAAACTGATTGTCTTTCATGAAAAAAAATTGAGAATTAGAAAGGTAAAGCGTCACAAACAAAAGCAAACGATATATTCAAGGGAGAATATCCTTTTCCACACTGCTGTATTTATCCGGTTATGGACTAACAAGGCAGAGAAAAAGTAAGAGAACATAATTTATCTCAGCTTAAACAACAGGGTTTTAATGTACAGCCGAAGGTAGGAGGAGAATTATTATTTAAGACCCCACTCATTCAGTCACAATAAGATTTCCTTCATTTTCATTATTTTTTGGTAGGAGATTGACCTGTCTGAGTTACAACTGATCTGCAACCTAATGTCACAAGATGCTTTAAAATTTTACCTAAGAATATATTTTTTTTCTTACATGAAATCAGGTGAGAAAATTCCTTTCAGTGTTAATCATTACACCGAAGAGGGAACCGGTTCATCTACTAATTACTACTATTACTTTGAGCTCATAACATTGTGGCTGGATGCAACCCCAAACTTCCTCTTTGGTTGACCTTACGCGGCTCGTATCCTCAAACCTCAGAAACTTGTAGCTGAATCTACAGCGTCAAAGCACATAAACATGCAAAAAAGCTCCCTTAAATATATGCCACTACACACACACACACACACAAACTGAATTAATGGATCATTTACTCCATTAGCATAATATCACACTGGATACCTTTGAAACTTCAGACCTTGAATTTGAGTATAGTTATTTAGTAGTTAAAAACAGGCTCACTATGTTCATTTTTTACAGCATCATTAGTGTCGCATTTACTTGCACCCCTGTCAACAGAAAAGCATTTAGCACACAGTCTTCTACCGTTTCCTGGTTTTTGAGAACAAGACTAGAGCGCGATCTACAATTTCATACTAGGTCTTCTAATACCACCGTCTCTTCAGCTCGACTCAAATAGGTGTTATAGGTGTTTAGAAAGCAAACAGTACAAAAAAGCAATAAGAAATTGTGTATAAGACGGTTGTGAAATATAGAAACTTTAAAAAATTCTGTCAATACATTTTTTCTTAAACTTTGAAAGATCATGAGGTCATATCATTGTTATTATTTTTGCTTTACCCCTTAAAGCTGCCTCCACAACAAATCTCTATCTCAACATCTCAGCAGGAAGAGAAAGAGACCCACAGCATCACAGATCCCCTACTGTACTAAACAGTGTGCATGACACGCTTTTCCACATATTCGCCCTTCGTTTCCCACTAGACCCACATGCAGTGTTTGTTGCCTGAAAGCTCAGTCCTCGTCTCGCCTCAAAGCAAACGGTTCTAGCGAAGGTAAGTGTAGAGTCTGGGAAATGGCACATTCAGACCAGCGACGGTGGAACAGGAGATGTTTTCCCCCACAGCGCCTTCGGATAAGCCTTGCTTTAGACTAAGTGACCCCTGACCAGCCCAATCTTGAAGTACTTCTCTAATTATAAGCTTTGGTATTTCTTTTGCTTCCTTTTCCGCCCTCCTTATGATGTGTGTTGGGTGGTAAGATACACTTGGGGCCTTATCCGGCTTATTTTAGAGTTTCTGCAAGCATCTTTAAACTTGAGACTTTTTATTCCAGTGTGGTAGAAATTTTACTTTACTTACAGGTGCGTCTTAAAATAGAATATCATTTAAAAAAATAAAAAGAAGCTGGTGTAATAATACCTTGGTTGTTCAAGTGATTAAACAAATAAATCACACTAACAGATTTCTCAAAATGGTACAAGAAAGCAATGGACAAATGTCAAGAGTTAAAATGACCACTGGGTGTATTTAAGACCTTTAATCTTAAAATTAAGGTTCTTACAAGTCGGACGTTTTAGGATCACGCCAAAACTATCCTATTTTTTTCACAATATGTCGTTTAAGCTCGCCACGTCTGACTATAGATGTATGTAGATTCAAGCAGGTAGCGCTTTTATTGCACCCATTTTCTCACCTTGATAAATATATAACACATCTGCCTTCCATATTTTCTTGCCTTTCCCATGTTGAAGTGTGACTAGAAGAAATGGGCCTGTGCTCTACCACATTAATATCCACAGGAAACAGAAAAACATCCTTATAAAATTATAAAGGCAAGTATGCAACACAAATGATTCAGGTTCTCTTACTTAATAAGAGGGATGCAAAAACATATGGATGGTAATCTCCCTACTAAACTTATGCAGCTGAATTAAGCGGTTGATTTTTAATTTTTTTCTAGAATTTTCACACACAACGATTACACTATTGGACCAAAAAAGAATTTAAAGCTTTTTGCAAACCTTTGTCAAGAAAAAAATAAATAAAAAAAAAGAGAGAGACTTTTGAATTTAACTGCACTTTTCACAGGAAAAGATGCATCACTGACATCTGACACAACCCTTCCATAGAGTGAGAAATGAAGTGCAGTTAAAAGAACCTAAGGCATTCCTTCAAAGCACAACGTTCGGCATCTATAAGCAGCTATAAAAAGATTCCCCTGCCTGACCACCGGCCTGTAGAGGACAGAGAGGAAGAGGATGAGCCAGCCCTTCGTTTGCTTTGCTCCGTGTGAATGAAGCAGGCTTGATGTGGAATAGGATTTTTGTTTTGCTTTAGTCACTTTTACATAGCAGACGTACGAGTCAAATAAAATACAGTGACATTATCAACAGGTTTGATTTGTGCATCTTAAAAAGGCCAAGTTTTTATTTTTTTAAATAAGATATTCTGGCACCCTTCCTCAAAAGCAAAGACCAAGCTAGTCTCTAAATTTACAACAGGAGAACATTTTAGCTTTGCAACAACCTTACTTAATCGTCTAGCAACATGTTTTCTTGCTACGAGCTGTAAATTCAAAATGTTCGATATAGCCCTGAACAAGCTTTCACTTTTATCATTTCATTTTTTTATTTTTTTTTTTTTTTTTTTTTTTTGCAGTTTATTCAGAATGCAGACGGCACGACCAGACTGTCACTCGTACCTTGCTCCTTTATTTGCCTGATCTGTTTCACAGTTTCCTTCAGGATTGCACATTTGTCAGGTTTGACGTTGAAGTTGTCGATGTCGTTGAAGTTGGCGAAGATCAGCTCGGCGAGCTCTTCGATATACTTGTTCTCGTGCTCGCGGTTGCGCTTCTCGTTGCTCCGCTTGGGACTGCAGAGACATAAAAACAACGAGAGGGGAAAACAGAAATTAAAAAAAAAAAAAAAAGCAATGGGGGACCAATGTTGGGGAAAATTACAAAACTATCAATTTTTTTTTTTTTTATTAAAAAAAGATCACTTAGGTGGCTAATTTATCTTTTCTTTTAAATCACAACACTAAACAAAAAAGATACAAGCATTTTCAACAGCGAAGAAATGACACCGTCCTTTCCTAAATCCCGGTGTTACCCTCCTGGGTTGGAATAACTTTGAGTGAGTTGCTCCTTGAAGACATCTGCCAGTGTCTCCCACTCTTCACTTGAAGCTGTGAAGTGTTTGAATTGTTTCAAGCCACAGCATCTCAAAAGAATAAATATCTGGACTATACTCCATTCCAGGACCTCCCATCTGTTAATTTTGAACTGGCCCAGATCCGCTGCAGCAAAGGATCTCCACAAGACAATTCTTCCACCTCCATACTTTACAGTTTACATGAAGCTCGTCTCCGCTAATGAATTTGGATTATTCTTAAGATACTGGTGTCTAAATAATTCAGTGTTGGATTCGTCTGTCCAAAGAACATTGCTCCAAAAGCCATCGGTCTTTCTCTTGTTTAGCTCTGGCAATATTTAAGCTAGGTTTGCAGTTGATGCACTGAACTAGGACAGAGGCAGTATGCGATAAACGTGCCAGCCCCGCCCAGTCGTGTTGGCGCGACTCCTGGTCCTTTCACTCAAACTGGACAATCTGGAATGCTCTCTTGCAGAGCAGGTTCACCTGCACTGACATGTATAGGAACTCTCTATCATGGCTCCCGTTGGAGAATACCGCACCAAAGTATGCATCAAGTATATAGGCCACACCGCTCGCTCGGCTCGCGTGCGCTCAATGGGAACCTCTAAAAGCACGACTGCAACTCGGCCTTAAGTCCGTTTTTCTTGACGAGCAAACATTGCCTCTGCTGAACTCTCTTTCTGATCGTACAGGAATGCACTTTCATATCAACAACGGCAAGAGTTGCTGTAAGTCTAATGATGACACTTTACATGTAAGGCTTGTCACTATCTGGCTCACATACGACTATGGCTGTTTTAAATGATTATAGTGATCAAGTAATCAACTGATTGTTCTGAGCATCTAGTAGCTACTTAAAGAAACATATGACAGAGAAAATGCTAGTCAACAATTCAGTTCCTATTTAAGAAAACACATTTAAGACACACTTAAATACAGTATGATTCAATCAAACTCTTAGTCTCATTATTTCACAAATTAAAAAGCAAACTTAAAAAAGAGACATTGCCTTTTTGTAACACTTCACTTTCAGTCTCGAGTTTGAAGTATGAAAAAGCTTCTTTTTTTGTTTTTTACACATATTTCTAATCTATTTTTTATTGTTTTTTCACATCGTTATTCTCCTTGATCAGTAAGTACAACAAGTGAGAAAATGGAGCTTGAAGATATTAATACAAGCTAAAAATGGGGAGAGTAATAAGTCGGCGGAGCACAAAGTATGTTAAACTGACAGCAGTTTAACGTAATATGCCAAGTTTACTTTGATCTCAGGCCTCTAAAGTTAATTAGTCGGGTTGAATCAGGCTCTGACACGACGTTTACAGGCTCGATCAAGTTGGTTTTGATTGTTTCAGGCCCAACCTACACCTTCATTTTCCTGCTGACGTGTTGCCGCATTGTGGAGGCGCCATTGGAAAGCTTTCTGTGCCTCTCCATCTCCCTCCATAGCTGCTAATAGCACTTAGCATTCTTCATCAGCTCATTAAAGCGCTGCACACCACACACATAAAGTTTAAAAACAAAACAAAACAAAAAAAATCATATGATTACAGTGCACTAAAAAGTAATCATAATTGAACGATGCGTCAAGGAATTCTAATAATCAAGGTACTCGAATAGCTTTCATGAATCGTTTCAGCCCTACACAGTACTGTGTGCTCCTACGGTTCAACCTCAAGTCTGTCAATGTGGTTGTGTTGGTCGCTTCGGTATTTATAAGCGCACCCAAACTGATGCCCAAGATGGTCATTGTGGTTAAGGGTCAAGACTGCAATCAGGCCGTCCCATCCTCTCCACTCTAAATCGCTGTGTGAACAAAGGCTGATAGAGCTCAGTCCACGAGAGTGGATTCATGTGAAGGCCACTGACTGCAGAATCTCATCTCTGTATCCCTCTACATTGAGATTTCCACCTGGAGCGACGAGCCTCGTTTCTTTTTTTTTTTTTCCAGCGAGGGAAGTACCGCCCCTCGCCATCACGCTGCCTCCACCTAAAGGTGTTTCGCATTAGCAGGGAGAAATTGCCAAGTTTTTCATGGGGTACAACCCACATCCTCAACCCTGTTGCTCAAGCCATAAATGTATTTTTCTTACACTCTGTTACTCTGGCACCATTTAAGGGGGAAATAAAACAGCTTTCCAACAGTTTAACATTCATTATCAACAGGTTCTTACATGTGGCACCGTGGACGACCTTCCTAAACAAGCTCAACAAAACTAGATACGTTTACGCGGGACATTGGAGCTCCTGTAAAAACTCCTGGTATCTCCTGGAAAAGATAACTCATTATCTCCTCGAAGGTTCTGGGTCAATTTGTGCCCTTATTTTAGATCCAAACATTGCTCTGTCATCCCAACCTACTTTCCTTTAAACCTGCAAACAAGCTGCTTTGTACTTTAAAATAATTCAACAGAGTTAATTATATAGAAACACTGAATGTGATTGTTCAAGATTTTATATGACCCCTCGTTTGATTCTTGTCCGTGCACATTTGTATTGGTTGGCATTTATGACATAGAAGATAGTGACCAATATTAAAACCGAATACTCAGAGTCCTATAAGGCTGTTTTCTTACCGTAGACTGTGTGGAGATTTTAAAGTAAAATAAAATATGAAAAAAAGATTACTTTACATCATTATCTGTAAAACTGAGTATGACATTTCCTGAACAGAACTGCAAGAGTCTGAAATCGTAGATGGGTAAATTGACCTGCACCGCTGCTTGATGGAGTTTCCTTTTTAGTTTCGAAATCGTCAGCAGAGGGAAGGTAGTTGAATCTGCAGTGGCCTGGTAATTCGAATTACTAACACGAAGAAAAACTAAAATCTCTAGGTAGCGGTGTGAGATGAAATAAGTTGGCAAGTAGGACTTGATCATTCTTGAGGGTTACCTGGGTCCTATGAGTTCGGCGGAGCATTCTTTGCGTTTTCGTGCTTCTGCCCTTGCAGGGTCAGATGAGTTTTCACCGACTCCACTCATCATCAATGCATATCAGCGTCTGCAAATGGAACACACAGGAAATCACAGTTTTAAATAAGAAGCAACAATTTCACTAGCTAACTGACTGAGCAAAAGGTAAGACAGCAACGGTATGTGAAAGGATGACAATGCAGGACTCGGTGAGGGCCCATATGGCCATCTACATACAGCACACATACAAACACACGCCCACACACACACGTACACAAAGTCTGTGCTGGAAGCACAAGTTGATCCAGTCCGGGAGAAATGAGTGAAAATGGAGCAGAGGTAGAGATTCAATCATTTCTCTCCGATGGCACAGTTCTCCCCAGAGAGACTGAAATGAGAGCACCGCGCTTCGCCTGCAGCAACAGTCTGTGCGCTCAACCGTGTGCTGAGAAAAACCCATTCGCTACACAAAACCAAGTGAAGCCAGCTCACATTCAGGACAGAGAGTTTACAGTAACGTGTGCCTGCGTCACTGTACGGACCGCCATTCGCCTGGAAAAACTCGAGGTCAATCAAAACCACAACAATGAGGACTCCTACCGTTTGAGGTTATGTGGAAATAACACTCGCCTACTTAGAAATGTCTTATAAGGTCACTTCCTATACGGTACAATAAATTTTATTTATTTTTTTTCTTTTGTTAAATACATTTGGGAGTCTCTTGACGGAAGCAAACAGTTGAAGCACAAAGAGTTAATGTGGCAGAGAGGCAGCTGGAAGTGGAACAGTGTTTGTGGTAAAAGGCTATTTACTTGTTAATTTGGGATAAAAAGGAGTACAATGAGTTTACTTCGGATACTCAAAAAGAGGGATTGCTCCAAAGTTAATCAAAATCAGCTGTCCTTTCATCCTCGGATAATGCTTTACCAGTTGTCGTGCATTTTTATTTTGCTAAATTATAACTGGGTCCAAGTTTCGCTATATACGAGACGATTGGTTTGAATGGTCTCGTATGTAGAGACCATTCCTATGTACCGGTGGTCTTCAAATCCAGGCAGTGAGGAGTGGCATCGTGCAAATTTTAGACGCGTCTCTGCTTCAGCACGCCCGAGTCAGATCATGAGCAGGACACCGACGATGTACTTCAGCCGTCTCACCGTCACAGAACCTACAATAAATTCTACTGTCAGTTTAACCCTCCTGTTGTCCTCGGGTCATTTTGACCCTAGGACAACAGGAGGGTTAAAGCAAGAAGAAGAAAAAAAAAAAGTCATAAATAAAGCTAAAGCAAAACTGAACCCTCCAGCATGACAATGACATACCAGTAAATCCACCAAGGACTCGCTAAAAATGTAGAAATGGAAAGTTCTATGCGGAGTCAAACCCTCGTCACCGATCACTTTGAGATGATGCAACTTCATACTATCTGTATTTTCAGGAAACCTCTCAAACATCTCGCTCCAGAAAGTTAGGAGCGGGGCAAACTTTTACATATTATTTTTTTTAAGTGCAAATAAATCACATTTCTTCCCAGAGATTAGAAATTTTAACATGGCTACTTGAATAATTATTTAAAAAAAAAATGTTATTAAATTACATGGAGTGTCTTAATTCATTTCATACGACAGTCAGTGGATAAATTAGACACATTTAGGCCTTAAGAGGATCTGTGATTGGTGCCATTTAAACAAAGAGATTTTATTACATTATTCAATGATTTATGGCATAAACAATAAAGAAGTTATACCTAGAGAACAATGGTTTTTTGAAGATTCTACAATTGAAATGAACCCGGAATGTCACAATTTTTTGAGTTTAAACTAAACATTACATGCTTTCCATGACAAGCTAGCAGATTTCTCCCCTTGACGATCACAGATGAAGTCGGCGCCCAGTGGGTGCTGCTGCCCTTCTGATGCACTCAGCTGATGCTCAACAGAGTGTGGCAGATTTCTGGCCACAGTTGCATATTGAATAAGAGTCAATAAATATTTTCTTTTTATCATTATTATTGACCTGCCAGAGCAGAGTGGCTGGGGGAAAAAAAATAAAGATTTCCTGCACAGAGAAAAATAAAATTTTCCATAACAGATTCAGCAAACAAAAGCTTTAAAGTTGGATCGGTTAGGCTCTTAAAACCAACATAAGCAGTTCTCAAAAGCTAAAACTGTTCCTTCTCTATCCTACTCTTAAGTTACCACAAGTAGAATTTGAGGGCACTAAATGAAAAACCATCAATTATTAACCGAAGTGCAGTAATATCTTATTAATTACCATCGTCCTCTGAAAATCTGTCAGCAGCTAATGGACTCGGGTTTAAATATATAGAAGGATACCTTCAGTATATTAGAAAGTTAAAAACTCATTGCCTTAAAATAAACGGTTACATTAAAAAGGATGTAAATAAAGTTCCTTAAGGCAGTTGATGTTGCTAAACCTCATTGTACTTTATTGAGATTTTATGTGATGGAATAAGCCACAGTAAGGCATAGCTATGAACAGAAGGGAGGGCGTCTTGAGGGTAAAGTGTATCATTAGTTTTTCTCCCACACAGCAGTTTGAATGCAGGCCAAAAAGTTCAACTTTGGTCTCGTCTAACCAGAGCGCCCTCTTCCAATGGATTGTTGCAGGCCGCAAACAGGACTTCTTACTAGCGTCTGTCACAATAAACAATAAATCAATTAATCGCATGATAAATTAAAGCAAGCTCAATCTCTTCTATTTGTACAATTTCATCGTTTTTGTTGTTTGTTTTTTTTTTTTTCCTCTTTCTACCAAAAACTGGAAAGCAAAAGTCTTCAGTCTGGTGCTTTGGTCTCGACTAGCCCTTTATTTGAAGGACAGTTTTGTTTACAGAGACTCCATAATCTTTTTTTTTTGTTTTTATTTTTTGTTGTCTTTTGCTCGTTTATTTTGGATATTTAAAATGTCTTCCAGTTCAAGTGTCGAATGTTAAGATACTCATTAGAATTTAAAGTTTAGCGAATCTCTGAGAATGTGTTCTTGCATTGTTAGGCCGTTACCGTTGTATTACATGAAAATGGTCTCAAAACAACAATATTATTGCTTGTCGCAATAATTTCTGGGACAATTTATTGTCCAGCAAAATTTGTTATCCTACTTTTTAATGCTTTCAACAATAACTTTTGAAGCACACAAATAAAAGTTAGCATCTCAAAAGATTCTACCTCCTGTCCTGTGGATCTCTTTAGCTGCTCCAGAGATACAATGGACCTTTTGGCTACCCGCATGTTTTTTTTTAAATTTTTATTCCATTTTCAGATGATGGTTGAAACAGTACTCTAAGACAGTGTTTTTCAACCACTGTTCCGCGGCACACTAGTGTGCCGTGAGTGATCGTCAGGTGTGCCGTGGTAATTATCCAATTTCACCTANGGTACCGTATTTTCCGGACTATAAACTGCTACTTTTTCCCTAAACTTTGAACCATGCGGATTGTAGCCCGGTGCGGCTTTTCTGTGTATTTTTCTTCAACCACCAGGTGGCTCTCTAGCAGGAAATGAATCATTAGAAGTCAAAATTGTAAATCAAAGAAGAACGCGTTAATTTTCATTTAGAAACAAGCACATGCTAGGATAATATTTGTAACCAAACCCTTCATTGATCTTCTCCAAAACTTTATTCTTAAGCTATTTGCTTTTTTCCCCACATGATGCCATTTATTCACAAATGTACTACAATAAGCCTCTGAGACCTTAACAGAACATCTGTATTTACGTTGAAATTTTAAAAAAAAAAAGTTTACAACAGGACAATTAGCCTTTAAAGGAAACTTTAAAGCATTTAGTTACACTGGATTATTATTTATGGGCAACAGAATAAAGGGAGACAGACTGAAAATGTCTACCACACTTTAAATGTTTTTTTTTTTGTCACATAAAATCCAAACGAACCCCACTGAAGGATGCAGTGAGCAATAACAAGACAAAATGTTTTTTTAAACAGCAGGATCAGGGGGACACGAATACTTCTGCAAGGCACTGAATCTTTGGTTTCGGCTCGTAAAAAGAACGGACCTTTAAATGAAACCCTTCAAAGAGAACATGCAGGTCTTTTCCCAGAGTAGGTGCCACAGCTGGCGCATGCTGTGTTGTGATAGAGTCTCAGCTACCCTTACCATGGAAACAGCTATGACACACACCACTTGCTGCTCTGCCATTACATAAGGAGGGAGCAGAGTGGAGAACGCCAGTATTTAGGGGAGAGCAGGGTAGCATAGCCTGGCAGAAGCTGGCTAAAATAATGACTGAGGTAGTGGCCATGCAAACCTTAGTCTGACTGCCTCCTGCCCTGGAGTGACCCACTGTAAGCTAGCAGTAGCAACTGGCTCGACATGAATAAAGCCAAAGCTTTGGCTACGGTTTTAAACATGTCCTTTTGACAAGTGTCTTGAGTTCCCTTGTTGACTAGTGCTGCGAGTGAACAGACACAAACGCCCGAGTCCACGTGTCCCACTGTTTTGCCATTTTGAACACCGCCATCTTTGTGCAGAGCAAGCTGTGTGCTGGCTGAAAACATGAAACGCAATATTAGAGGTTGTATCATTTTTATTAATGGCAGCAGGCCATTAAACACTAATAGCCAAGGGCCATTCTCCATTTTTATTGGCCGGGGCAGGGCTTTCAAAAGCACAAGTTACCATGGGGATTCTGCTTCTTATTGGCCGAGCGTGCCTCGCTGAGCCAGATATGATTGGTCGCCACCATCTCCTTGACATAGCAGCAATGATGGGTCACTCTACATTGAGACAAATAAGTGAGACTTGAAGTACCGAGCACGTCTCAATGACACCAACACAGACGACCAGACGGCCTGGCAAGCAGGCTGCCGGCTGATTCTGTAGCTGGGAAAGGGGAGCGGGGTCTCAACACAAGGCAGACTAACAGGGGGTTCCCATCTCGAAAAAAAAAAGGAAGAGTCTGGACTGCTGGCAAGCTAATAACCGCTGGGAAATCATTAGCAAACAAAGATGCTGTAAAAATGTGCTTACATTTAACAGAACATAGAGTATGAAACAACCCCTCAGAGGGTAAAAGAACTACAACCATGTCTGCTTTCAGCCTAAAA